CTTTCATGCCCCTCGGCCTTTTCTTTCAACCAGTTGTTAAAGTCTAAGAGTGTTGGTCGCTGCCAATTATGTCTAACAGTATGCATTGACCAAGCCTCCTTGAGGTTAGGCGGAAGTTTACTAACACCTTGGTTTAACAGGTTAACACTCTTTAGATCATCGTTGAAAGACAATGATTTGAAAACTGCTACGAGGCCAGATATGGCAGAGGAGAAACTAATGACATTTTCCGAATTGTGCATCTTAAGTGGAGGAAAAGTATTCAGCTTATAAAGATGCGCACCAACAATGGCATGTGGTTGCCCAAACTTCCGTTGCAAGGTGGCCAGTGCATCCTTGTACATAACGCCACTATAACTAAACTCCGCAATTGCGGTTTTTGCGTTGCCTGTGACGAGCGTTTTTAAGTATGTCAATTTCGTATCATCGGTGAGAACAGCGGAATCAACGGTGGACTTAAACTGACCAAACCATTCGTGCCAGTTTAACGGGTTGCCGTCAAACTGGGCTAACTTCCATTCAGGAAGATGATCTTTGCGGCTATGCATCAATAATTCCGCCAATTCACGAGCGGAGAGAGGTCGATCCGATGAACAACCTTGGTTCGGATAAGCGGGAGACGGTGCGTAGTCTTCGTTGACTGGCTGATAACCAGTATTAGTTTGATTGACAAAATGCGGAACATGTTGTGGATGAATTGGGGGAGTATTAAAATACACAGTCCCACCACTAGTATACGGAGCGGCGGTGTTACACGATGGGACAATAGTTGTCACATTAGAAAAAATGTTTCCAGCATTACAACACTGAGCAGGCGTGACGATTGGAGTTGTAGCTGCCAATCGCCATAAGTTTGCATCACTTGTGTAGTAATCGTTGATATTAGGTGACACAGTATGCGGAACAAAGGGAAGATTATGTTGCGTCTGGACTGGCGCTGCATGGCAATTAGGTGCCGAAAAGCAAACCGGCGTTGGGTTTACTCCAGAAGATGAGAAGCCACCGCCAGCAAATGCAGGCGACAAAGAAACAAAACCAGAACCGGGTTGGGCCGGTAACATTGGGACAGGTAATGATTCCGGTTGCGCGATGGCAAAACTACCATTACTTATGTTTGAACTCATGGTCTGTAAAGGAACAGCAGACGGTGGTAACACGTGTGCACTAGAATGCATATTGTTAACTGGGAATGGAACAGAGGCTGGGAATGAAACAGAAGCTTGCAATGGCAAAAGGCTTGCACTGCCAAATTGAGGCATAGCCCGATGTCCATAACTATGGATTCCAGGGTCACTCAATGCTGTGTGCTCATGGTTATGACTATTACTGGTGTGAATTGCATGAGCAAGGAGGGCGGAAGTCGTCGGTCCTGACGAAATGGGTACATGAGTGAAGGCCTCCAAACCTGGCGCACTAGCAACGTCGGGAGGTGCTTGTGAACTAACAGAGTCTACCCAATTATTAGTTCGATCGGTTGCTACCTTTGAAATAGGTTGACTTACTCCTGTTAAGTTACTTTCCGCTACCTTCTCGCTAACCTCAGATGAACTGTCCTCAAGTTCAAACGCTTTCAATTCCATTTCGATTAGTTGCTTTTCATGATTTTCAGCCAATTGCTCTAGTTCCAGCTGACTTTGCTCGAACTTAAGACGGTTCTCTTGCTCTTTAAGTCTTAAAGATACTTGATACTGCCTTTCGAGCTCCTCATGGCGTCGTTTTACTAAAGCTAACTCATGCCGTTTCTCACTTGATGACATAGTGCGAACAGTCGACTTATGATAGTAGACACTCAAGCTTTCTACTATCCTTAGACTTATTAGAGACCTTAGACCTGTTTTCAGATACTCGTGCTGCTGAATCATTTGTTTTGTGCGAGCGTGAGGATGTCTCAGACCTAGTTTGTTGTAAAGATCCCTTGCTCCCTGTAATGCCGGCTGCTGGAAATGACGAAGGTTCAAGGCTCATCTTGTAACTCTGAGCTTCGTGCATTACTTTATCGTTCATTTCGGTTACTTTCTTAAGCCAAAGGTCTTGCTGAGCAATAATTTTTTCAGGATTTTCCGTTTTTCCCGCTAACATTATTAATTGCTCATTAACGTCGACAGCTTTTTCCAGCGCAATTTTACATTTGTAAACAGCATTATCAATTTTTGTAGTGCGACTATTATTCTCAATGTACTCAAGTAATAATGAGTGACCTTTAAGCAGCTCATTTTCTAGATTTAGACGGGTTTCGAATAACTTGCGTATCTTACTTTGGAATTTTTCGTCCATGTTTTTCACAAATTGACAATATTCTACGGATGCTCACTTATAGAAAACAATCAATAAAATGAGATACTGTTTTGGTACGTAATTAAATTTGCATTAGTAAATCAACATTAGCTTACAAGACGGGGGAACTTGACGTCTCAAAGCTTCTACCTGAAGCCTATTTCTTATAGCTTTTCGAGCTTTGAGGGGTAAGCGGTTTCGCTTCTTACGTGTCTTAAGGATATTAAGGTTAGCGCTATAACGCCTTAGAAGGAGGAGAGTCTTTAACTCAAGGGAAGGAGGCTGGTGAAGCTCTTTGTACTTCTCAATTAGTACCTGGTCCTTAGCCTTACGCTTAGAGATAAAGTCTTTAACGACGTTGAGAACGAGAATACCTGTTGAAACTAAACTTTCCTCTATATCCTCGGTTCCGTTCCGTCTACAGTATACGATCGCACAAATGTTTGTCCTATACCTTAATAACAAATTGACAAGTTGCTCACTACTCAGCTTGCGGTTATTGTTGCTGCGGTGCCTACTTATCGAGTTATTAATGGCGTCGTGCCAAATTACAAGGTCGTTACGGTGCGACAAGTAATGATGAAGGTAGTACTGTATTGTTTTCTGAGAGTCCCTAGCGTTAAAGTTCAAACTTAAACCTGGCTTCGTAAAGCAAGTATCTTTGACGCGCTTCTGGGACGGAGCGGGAAGTTTTCGGAGCGCGTGATCCAAAGAACTAGCTCCTAGAATGAATACCATACACTTAGGGGACCTATGCGATGGCTTCGTTACGCTTAAGTACCAATGGGGTTGGAAAATTAAGTAGGTCGGTTGAACTCCAACAACACACACGGAGTAAACCTGAGGATGAAAGAATTCAACTGAACTCACTTAATATCACCGTACCTGACCACTTAACTTTACTGTCACGCAACGAAGTCAATAATCGAACGGGCTGAAACGGCTTTGTTTTACTCGAAGCGAACTGGCTTTCAGTTTCACCAATGGTGGGTGGGGGATCAGGCAAATTGGTTAAGTTCCAACAACACACGCGGAAGAAACCTGAGGATGAAAAAACTCAACTTAATTTGCCTGATATTTCGCTACCAGACCACTTAACATAGGGTTGGTGTAATCTTACAGCACAGTTTCGCGGAATTTTGGAGACGTTTTGAGGATTTTTCGGCAGTTTTTTTTTTTTTACTTTTTTCACAAAATTTTTCAGAAAATTTTGGTCAGCAGGTTCGAGTCATAAACCAATCAAAAAAACTAGTCCAGTACCTCTTGTCTATGTTCCGATTTCACGGATTAATATTCCGTTCACATATATCCAAAAATTTTTGGTATCGAGAAAAAATGTCAAGTCAGTTTGTCTATGTACCGACTGTAAGATATTTCAGTTCAACGGAACTGTCCAAAAATTTTAGGTATTGAGAAAAATTACCGGGGGCTAGCTTGCGGGAAAATTTCTAGCATATATGACATCGTATATAAATTTTTAGCACAATTGGAGTTTTAAAAGTTTTGGAAACTTCTTACAGTTTTAAATTGGAGATTGGCGACACCGGGAAAAAATCCAAAACTTCGGGTGTCGAGAAAACACAGCTCAAAAATCCAAAAGTCAACAATCAGGGCACCTGAACAGGCCCCTCTTCCAACAGTCTGCTCTTTCGCCTGTTTGCTCTGTCGCCTGTCTGCTGACAAGCTCACCTGCTAAATGCATACATCAAATTTTGGCCAAGTAGTCTTTCGGCTAACTGAGTAATCGCCCAACTTTCGCTTGCGAAGACTTTCAGCCAACTGGGAGTTGGGCCAAATTTGGCTTCCGAGGAGTTTCGGCCAAGTCAATATTAGACTAATCGGCCGACTTTTGCGTTCGTACGACTTTCGGCAAATTCGGCTAACTGCTACTCTGACTACTTTCGGTCAAATAAAACACTCGTCGTGTCTCGCGTGTTGAAATGGGCCAAACAAAACAATCGGCCAAACCAAACACTCGTCGTGTCTCGCGTGTTGAAATGGGCCAAACACAACAATCGGCCAAATAAAACACTCTGATGTCTGGCAGACTGGACTTTCGGGCAACTGGTCACAATTCGGCCAAACGCCCACTTTCGGCCAACTGACAGAAGGATACACTCGGGTCCGCCAAACGTTCGAAAGGGAACTAACAACAGTGGTCCCTTGTTGTGTTGCAATAGTAAACTCGATCCCTTGTGGGGCGCCAAAATATGCTCGCTAATCTCCAAACGAAAATAATTGAATCCAAATTCGTAAATTAATAAGAGATATTTATCGGTAAATAACTCAAGCAATAGATAAATTTCGGTATTTTTCTATTGATCAGGACATCATACAACATTTTTAGCATCTGTCAGTTTTTTGGTACAAATTGGCGCAAGCTAGCCACAAGAACCGGTCGGTAATGTCCTTGAGACAAATTGCTCTTTTTGGCGGTCAACCTTAATCAAGGCTGAACCGAATTAGAACCAAAAAAAAAAACAGTTAAAATAGGATGTAACCCCCGTTTTTAGTATTTTAATACATGGGCAGGACCCGAACCTACGTCAACTGTTATTTCACACATATAATCGGCGTTAGCTTACTTTGTCTTAGTCCGCTTGGCCAACTGTGCTTATTTTATATGCATCTATACTCTTGTTTTATTCTACATTTGCATTGCAACAAAGGTATTAAAAAGCTTATAGTGGTGAACGTTTTCAAAGATTCATCTACCGTTTGTACAGGTTCTCATATGCATCTGCATGGGATACTCAGACATTCGGCTCCTCTATCAATCGTGAACACATTCTATGCCTTGACGGAGGAGGTATCCGAGGCCTCATTTTGCTGATATGCCTCAGGGAACTACAGAAACACTTGAAACGGTATATCTTTGCCTTATTTTTAAAATAGATGAAGTTACTCCACTTTCTTCACAAACTAGGCATAATTTTTATAAATTTACTTTCTTATTTTCAGGTAAATCATGAGCCGTGTTGTATTGTATGCATGGTTATATATAAGGGTGGAGCTGAAATTTTCTCAGTGGAGATTTTAAAAAAAATTCGACCTTTTGTGTGTCGGCTAAGTTGATTCCCTAAGGTCTGCGAAAGCACTGAAAAGGCCCCATTTTGCCAAAATTTTATGCTGTTTTTGGAGGTTTTGGCCAAATAATTTTGTTCGCCCCCGCGCCTCTGTATATAAGTGCCTGTCAAAAAGTTTCAGGGTCTGTCCGCAAAAATAGATGTCTGTAAATTAGTGCCAAAGCTGGTACCTTTTGGGTGGCGGGGGGAAGAATCCCTGAGGGTGTGGGGTGTCCTTCTCTTTTTCTTATGCTGTTCTAGGTGTCTATAAATCCTCCCATATAGTTCTATCATTTTCTGCATCTGTGCCATATTACTCTATTGGTTGCTTTTTGTTCTAGACCTATCACGGACAGTTTTGACTGGATGGCAGGAACAAGTACAGGGGGAATGGTGGCGGCTGCCTTATCATTCGGATTCTCAATATCCAAGGTAGTAATTCAACTTCAAATCATTATTATCTAATACGTCATGAGATAGTAGCGAGCTGAGCAAGCTGTGTGACAAATACAACGGTATACTGTGGTAGCCATAAGGGCAATTTTGAAATCAGAATGTTGATTTCTGGTATTTTGCGTGTCTGTACTAAACAGTCAGATACCAAAGTTTTGAAATATTTGTGAAAACAGTTCGATAAGAAGCTATAAAAACAGATCGAAAAATGTTTTTCTTTTGCGAGAGCAAGTGACTTGTTATCGAAACGACTTTTTCCCCGGTAAACAATTTTTCTAAAAAATTCTACAGACATGCTCAAATTCTGGAAAATTCAAATATAATTACCTCGCAGCTCATTTGAGGTAGTACTTAATTTTTCAATTGATTTTTAAAACATGTTAATTTTTTTTGGATTTGTGATTTTCGTCCTATTTTATGTCGGCTGATTTTCTGTTTTTCCAATGAAATCATATTAACTGGTACGCTTTTCCTGCAGTTTCTTCCCAAAGATGGTGTGTTTTAATTTTGATTGTTTTACTAGAGTTGAACTGTGTTCTGTAGGCTTTGATTGTTTTACTAGAATTGAACTGTGTTCTGTAGATTGTAAATTTACCAACTCTGATTTTAATTTTTTTTCGGTTGAACTGGTTCGCCTTATCACGCTAGCGAGCAGCTAGCGTTTTAGTAAGAATCTTCTTTTTTTCTAACCTAACTCGCAAATAAAAGTGTTCATTATTTGGTGGCATTTTGATTTAATCACGATCTGTAGCATTAGAAATTTCATAGCATCTGTTCTCGGCTTTATTTATGGCTAGTGTTTGTGATGAACTAAGCGACCGTGGTTGAGTGGTTAGTGCGTGAGACTTATACATTCAAGGTCGCAGTAGGGCGTAGGTTCGAGTCCGAGACGTCGCCGAATTTTTATATCTGGTTAAAATTTTGCTCCACAATATTTTTTTTGGATCTGGCTTATTGGCGGCTAGTTCTTGTTTGATAAAAAACAGATCATATGAAAATGTATGGGAGTTGACTTTTTTGATTTTTTTTGAGACGCTTATCAAAGATTTCGCAATTTAAATTTTTCAAGATTTACTTATAAGTGTTACCAATGGAAAGACCGGCTACTCCTCTCTCTGTGTGCCTGGATGATACGCTTCTCTCTTTCTTTCTTCGAACTTCGAAAATTTCAGCGGGATGTAATTTTTGACCAATTTTTTTCGTAATATTTTCATTTTGTCGGAAACAGCCATGACAAATCTGAGATTAAGGATTCGATCAAAAGACCGTGTTTAAGAGTCGATAAACGGAGTTCAGACTCTCATATAGGTCGGTTTTTTCCAGGAAAAGTCTTTAATATTGTTTGGGTTATTTTGTCAAATTGGGTTATTTTCATCAAGACATCAAACATTTTTCTGGAACTTCAAATAGCTTTTTGGGCATCTAATTTTTTCTTGGAAATTCAAAATTTGAGATTTTTATTTTAAAAAAATAGTCAGTTTTTTTGTTCACTAATTTTCATTGAATGTTTTCCAACTGTCTGTTTACTATGTTTTTATTTTCAAAGTTTGATTTTTTCAAATTATATGAAATCAATTGTTCGCTCCAATCATCTCTACTGCATCATTGTATGTGAGATCTTCAAACGCTAGATTAGACCTTCAATGGTATAAATCCAATCGTTTTTCAGGATATAAAGTTCCTAAGGTGTGGTAATCGATGCGTAGTAGCCTTGCAGGAAGTTTCAGTCCTGTTCACCGTCTTGGAGGCCTGAGTGGCAATGTTTTACTGAATATTTGGCTAGCTTTTGATTTTTAGCTAACTCATCAAACCGCTATAAGAGAAATCAGATGCAGATAATTATTCTTAAGTTTCCAATGTTTTTTAAAAAGTTTTAAAGTTCATACTTTCAAGTCAATGATTTGAAAAAACGCGAATAATATAATAAGAGTCGATGAACGTAGGTCAGGCTCTTATGTAGGTCGTAATAGTAACTGTGTTAGGGCTCAAAATTTTTTTTTGCGGCTTGACTTTTGATTTCTGCTTAAGTTCAGCTCATTTCCTTTGTTAAAAAGGGGCTAAAGCCACTATCGAACATCGAAAGCGTAAAGATACCGAAAAACGTGATCAACTTCTAGTTTCGAATATGGATTTTTTCAGATTTCCCAGCGAAATAGAAGTTTCACTTATTTATATAGTATTCTCAAATTGGGTTAAAATTATCAAAAGGGTCAAACATAATTTTTTCGGTAGATTCAAAGAGCCTCCAGGTCATCTATTTTTTCTTGGAAATTCGATCGAAAGTTGTGATATTCAAAAAAAAAAAAGTCAGTGTTTTAGTTCACTTGCGTTCAGTGATTCTTTTTGCTTCTGTGTGTCGGCTACATTCTAGGTATCTCGCTGCGTAAGCTGCTACGCCCTAATATTGGTAGAAAAAAGTTTTGGTCTAAGAAAATGTTTTGACATTTTGTCGGTTTTTCGGAAGCTTTTGCCTTTTCTTGAACACTCCCTGCCAAATATGAGCTTAAGCGTTTAATGGAAAGAACAGACTGTGACTTTTTGCTTCACCACTGGTGTCGCCCCAAATGTCTGTTGAGAAAAGAAAGTAATCGCCCTGAACATATACAATTTTCAAAATGTTGCTCGTTTTTTTTTGGAAATTTTTTAGCCTTAGTTGCCGCTCAGTCATTGATTTTCCATGTTTATTAAGGCTGTTTATGAGAATCATCAGACAAAATGTGTAAAATTTTTGTAGATACAGTTTTTTTTATTTTTTTTTTCAAGTATTTTTTTTTCAGCTTCTGATGTTTCTAAAGTTTGCTTCAAAAATTGCTTCTTTCATTCAAAATATGTTAATGCTATGTTTTAAATTGTATTGCAAGTGTTGCGAAGCTACGTTTTTTCTTTCTGTCTAATTGGCCGATTGACAGTTGTATAGTGACGGTCTATTCATGTAATAGTCCAACAATTTTTCTTGTAATATTGTTATGTTTAATGTTTGTTCACTCAGGCGATGGGTATGTACTTCCGATTCAAGGACGAAGTGTTCCACAGTGTAATGCGGCCTTACGACCACGTGCCTCTGGAGAAACTGTTCAAGGAATACTTCTCAGAAGAGGCAGTCATGACAGATATCGCGAAGCCAAAGGCAAGTGTCACAAGTTGATGTAGCATCTGAGAATTGATGTATCATCCGATTTATAATTGTCGAGTTGTTCAAGTTCTTGAACACGTTGGTGAAGTCAGCGAGAACCCTGGGAGTAAATGACAAACGCAAACAAGAGTTAAATACGAGAAACATCGAGCAAGCTTAAGTAAAAAACGACAGCCCTGAACAGTAAATGCGTTCATGGCTTATGGTGATTCGAAATTCTACGAAACTTTTTGTATCGAGTGCCAGGCGCTAGAGCATGGCGCTTTGCTTACTCAGCATGTCCATCATTGTTATCTTGTTGTTTATACACCAATTCTGGTATTCGTTGGTGTTCGGCAACAACTTACGTGTAAGCCATCGATTGATTCTTCTGTACATTCAAATTCAATAAAGGCCTAAAGCGGATTTTTTTGGTTTTCAATACACATCTGTTTGTCAAAAATTTCAATAAATTTAATTTTCAGATAGCAAGGCCCAACGCTGCTTTTGCTTCGTGGATCGCATACTTCTTTTTCGATAAGCTAGGGAGATCTCATGCGACCATCCAAGAGAGCATTAATAATAATAATAGCAAAGGCCCACCATACTGAGGCATATATTTACAATCTGCTAAATTCAGCCCAAAAGTGCTTTCATTGAAGAAGCGAAATTGAAATTGTAAGAAGTAACAGAAAGAAAAACCCAGATTAAACAAATAAAATTGTTATAGCAGGACAACAAAGAGGGCAAAAACAGCTCTATAACGTCTAGATTGATATGTATCATCTGACGACAGAGCAACAAACATAATAATTATGAAAAGCATATCTGCCAGCATAATAACAAGCATTAAAATATTAAGTAAATGACAAAATAAAAGAACACTAAAACAGAAAAATAAGAAATGTTTCTAATCAGATAGTAGCTGAAGATAACAACATTTTGAAAATCAACTCAGTGAAAGGTCTTAAGCGGATTTTGTCAGGGCAACTGTAATTAAAAACAAGACTTCTATCAAGAATAGTTTGAAAGTATTTCCGAAATTTCTCGCCAGTTTTTGAATTGAACTCGGCTGAGGGTGACGGCCATCATTGGGTATACCTTTTCTAAGCCTAAAATTTTCGAATGACATATGCTGCAGCAAGTCAACTTTTTTTGTAAGCTCTAGTTTTTCGCTGAAATCCTTTTATCACACTACGCCGAAAAAACTACCCTAATTGGAAAAAAAAGGTATTTTTTTAAGACGATGGTCGGATCATTCTGTGCTACTTTCACAGTAACCGGATATCCTTGTTTTTTTCCCGCAAAATCAGCTACCACAAATATTCATCGGAGAGATTCAAGTGGTATATCATATTAAACCACTTTTAGTTGTGATTCGAAGGACATGAGAAAAAATTCTCCGTGTCGAGAAAAAATTTTTGATTTTTAATTCAATTTCGAGCGAAAAACGCGATCGAGTAACGTTCGTCTTATGGAAATTAACCATTTTTATAACTAATTTTAGGATCACAAAACTTGTTTTTACTATCCAGAAAACAATTTCGGATGTTTTTTTAGCGCTTATTTGACAATAAAGGTTTTCAAACAAAAATAAAACCATTGTACAAAAAGAAAAAAAAAATTTTTTTTTTAAATTTTTTGTTTGGTATTCAATTTTTGAAAACAAATTTTTTCGAATATGCCTTATTTCTTAATTCTCTACGCGATCTTATAATTCTCGAATCACACCAACCGCTAAAAACGAAACTAATTTGAAAAATAAAAGTTTTAAAATTTTTTTATGAATGTGATCGGATCATTCAGTGTACTTGCACAGTAACTGGCTATCCTTGTTATCTTTGTATGTGTTGACAAGATTTTCCATTTCTTCAGCAATGACTATTTACGACATTAAACTGTTTCCTTTTTTGTCTATCAGACTGTTTGTCCTAGCGATAGTTTCTTACTCCAAAACTACCAAATTGTTTGACTACGTGATCCCGTAAGTAGATTTGACAAGAAACTCCCATATGCCTCACACGCCAAGGATATAATTTTGTCTGTATATGCTTTCCTCAGACTGATAATACTTAAAAGTTATTCTAGGATTTTGTTGCTGGTAAACCTTGCAACCATTAGTTGGCAAATTTTCTCATTACCGTCTATAACTGAAAACTAATGCTACGAACCAGTGTAAAAATGCATTCTGAAAAGCTGCGGACATTTGGTAACAAGGGACATTTGGTATCGAAATTACCAAATATCCCTTAATTACCAGTGTTTCCAGATGTCGCGTCTTCTCAAAGTCTCAAGTTATAAAATTTAGAAAATTCATAGTTTTCCCAGCTATCTTTGCCTATTTGTCTGAAACATTTGAAATGCGATTGATTGGTATATAAATGAAATGAAGTCTTCTTGTATTAGGTGCTCATATCCACAGTGCTTGGAGACAGAGTGCCACCCGACCTCTTCTTCTTCTCAAATATCAACTCCCCCAACACCTGCCTCACAAAAGACCTCACCCACCAGGGCCAGTTTCCGCCCACAGACCCCCCACACAAACAACTCATATGGCAGGTAATGATACATTCGAATCTTAAACGCCACTGCTACAAATGCTTGAAAATCGGAATTTATCTGATGACTTGGAATCTGAAATTATTGCACCTGTTTCGATTAACATGTTGAAACGTATTATGCTATCGATAAAGTTAAGATTGAAAATTCCTCCTCTAGATTGCTTCAAATTTTTAGTTTAAAAAAGCTGCTGTCTGTCTGTTGCATCAAACTCATATTGTCGCTTGTCATTTCAAGGTTTTTCCTCATAACTGTATTTTGTGTTGGTGTAAGTTTGCTTATTTTCAAACCTACAATTTGCAGATGAGTTTTTCTCTTTAGGTACTCAGGGCAACCTCCGCCGCCCCCACATTCTTCGCCCCCTGTGGGCGCATGTTGGATGGGGGCTTGATGTGCAACAATCCCACTCTGGATGTGATGACGGAGGTGTTCAGGGTTCACCAGAGTGTCTATGTGAGCAACGGACACTTTCCGCCCAGAATTGGCTGTGTGGTTTCGTGTGGAACAGGTGAACAGAATAGTTTCTATTGCTGGATGTTGGATTTTTTCCCATTATAGCCCTACAGCAAGTCATAAATCCCTGAAACAGATTCATCATTTGAGGAAGGGTTTGTATTTCGAATACTGGTTTGATAGGCTGTAATTGGAAACTGCCAAGTGGAAACTGCCGTATGTAGTTTTTAGTGTCAAAGGCGGATTAAGGTCGGCGAAGTGAGCGATAGAAGTAACTCAAGAAAGCTTTTCTGAGCCAAGGGATATAATAACAAAAACAAGAATCTCCTTTCAATGTGTCCTTTGCCCGCCATTCATAAATCCGCTACTAGTTGCTTGTGCTGTAGGTTGAAGATCTTTTGTAGAATCTCGAAGTTTTACTGGCCTGCATGTTTTTTATATATACTTGGATGCCGAATTTTCAATGAAGTTTTCTAAAATTGATTCAATAACTATTGATGAAATAAAATTGGTGAATTAATTTCAATAACTTTTGATGCTATGCTGTGTTTTTTCAGGTTTCGTACCAGTGGAGGCCAAATCTCTCTCGATCTACAAGCCCTCTGGCATTCTAGACGGAATCCGGTCTGTGTCCAACCTCATCCAACTCACTTCCACCCTTATAGACCAGGCCACAGTAGCCGAGGGCAGACCAGTGGCCCAAGCCCAGACCTGGTGCCAGATGTGCGATATTCCCTATGTCCGGTTCAACCCACCAATCAGTGTAGACATACCAATGAACGAAACTTCAGACAGTGTCCTCTTGAAGCTATGTTGGGAGGCGCAGTGTTTCATCAATCGCAACCAGAAGCTGTTTTTTAAAGTGGCCAAATACATTAATTTGTCGAATCATAAAAAGAAAAGATATGGACCCATGAAATAAATCATCCATTGCAGAATACAATTGCCTAATTCTTTGCGTTTTTACAACTCCTTTTCGAAATCAGTGAAAAAGAAAGTATCATTTAAATTTAATTAATATATAAGTGCTAATGTTTCTATCTGTTGGAAATTGCAGTATTTCATTGATGAATTTTTGAATTTAGTTCTTGGCAGTTCAAGAAAAAGCAGAAGATGCATTGAGGCGAAAAATAGTTCTTCATTTCAAAGTTGTCCACAAATTATAAATTAAAAAGTGATTTGTAGATAGTTTATTTATCAAGCCTTATGTGCCACAGAAATTGTATTTAAATGACAATCTTCTTTCAAAATTTGCTCTAATTATTATCAAAGTTCCTTTAGTTCTATCATTAGTTTGGTAATTTTGGCATGATTTTGTAATTGAGAATCCTTGTCTAAAAAAGCTGTATAGTTTCAGGTAAAATGACGTGGCATAATTTCAACGTGAGAGATCCAAACAACCCTATCGTGTTTATGGATATCAAAATTGGTGGCAATGATGTGGGACGACTGAAGATGGAACTATTTGCAGACTTGGTTCCCAAAACAGCCGAGAACTTCCGCCAGTTATGCACGGGGGAGTACAGAAAAGACGGACTCCCCAGGGGCTACAAGGGTTCAGTGTTTCACAGGGTTATCAAAGACTTCATGGTTCAAGGTGGTGACTTCGTGAAAGGCGACGGCACTGGCCTTGAAAGTATTTATGGACTATCGTTTGCAGATGAAAATCTAGGAGCTGCGAAGCATGAAGGCCCAGGCATACTATCAATGGCTAATAGTGGACCACATTCGAACGGTTGTCAGTTTTTCATCACATGCACAAAATGTGAATTCCTAGATGGAAAACACGTCGTGTTTGGAAAAGTCCTAGATGGTCTTTTAGTTGTGAGAAAAATTGAAAACGTGCCTACTGGACCTAATAACAAACCGAAACTTCCGATCGAAATAGCTCAATGTGGTGAACTCTGATATAGAATGTTTGACATTATCAGAGTATAATCGGAATTCAAAGTGCGGTGCACTAGCTTGAAGAAGAGTTTCCGGCGAGATGCGAAACTGGGTTGAAAATGGAATTTATTGAAACAATTATTTGTTTGCGTTGCTTTTGTTTTAAACGTTTTCTAACTTGACCCTAACTTGACGTGCAATGCATTTTCAGCATTATAATTTTTATCATCTCTTTTCACCATTTATTATTTCTTCTTGAATAGTTTTTTTTCTTCCTTTATCGCGGTGTGCTTAAATAGAGTGTTGAGGGAATTCAGCTTCATAATTTTGATATTTAATTGGGCGCAGATTTTCATTGCTCTGAGAATTTTTATTGGGAGGTGCAAAAGTATCCAAATTTCAGCTATTCATTTCAAGGCTACAAAAAATTCTCTCAAGAAGTTTAAATTATGAACATGTAGCGTTCTTGTCACTGTACTTCACTTTGCGATGCTGTCAAGAATTGTGGGTTCCAATTTTCTTTAAAGAATTAAAGTATTGTTCCGACTTTCGATACGAAAGTAACGGAATATTTGTGCTCGGGGTGGGTTTTTTTTTCTTCAGACAAATTTCGACTTTTTAACTAGCCATTTTTGACGGATTTTTTTTATCATTCAAAAGGTATTGTTGTCCTGAGCTTAAATTTGAAAAAGTATTTCACCTGTGATCATTTTTCGTAAAGTTATGGGGGTTTAAAGATTGCCATTCTGGCCAATTTGGGAGAATTAACGCGCATTATATTTCGCGCTATTAAAGCGTAACCGGAGATTTAATCCGTCTTAGAAATCGTTCCAAATTGGTTGAAAGAAGCTTTTTTGCCATAATTGATTTGTTAGAATGAGCGAAATCTATTCTTTTGTAGTTTAGTTGGCGTGTGGGGGGATGATTTAGATAAATTTTTTTATTACATTTAATTTGTTAATGATAATTAGGTTATTACTGCTCCATAAACCTTAAAAGGCAGTCGGAACATTCAGGGCTTCGCCCTGGTACGAGCAGTCTTGTTTAGTTTAAGGGTGTATTTGTTGTTGTAATTTAACCCTTTGAACCTTTCAGAAATGCAATGAAGTAATTGTGCACCATGGAAATGTCGCAATAATTTCCGACGCAATCCCTAATTTGTGTGCTGCGGATGGAGCAATACACTCATCACACGCAGCACTTAAGCTCGAATGTGACTCAAACTAGACTTTTTCTCACAGACACTCCTGCAAACAGCCAAAACACAAACCAACAACAGCTTCATACACAGCAACAACACTTCTCAATTGTATCTCAAACTTCTTCTAACCATCATTTAGTTCACCCTATATCAACATCGCCTCAGGTACAGTTATGAAAGTTGGGTCTCGATTTGCGATTCACGTGAAACTTGAATTTGTTATCGACCAATTTTTAGAATTTCGTCAAGATTTTTAGAAATTTAATATCTGCAGTGATCACAAAAAAACATGTTAACTCTCATTAACAATTAACAGAGGTTCTGAAAACCTCTAACATGGTGAAAGACATTTTGTGCATAATATGAGTCTTTGAAACTTTCTGTAACCACATCGAACTGAGGATTGAACTGGAAACTCAGTTACCGAACTAAACAGGCATTGAAAATTCTTGAAGCACCAATTGCTTTTTGATAAGTTGTTAAGATCATGAAAAGTATATATGTCTTTTTTATTGTTCCGACTTTCGATACGAAAGTAACGGAATATTTGTGCACGGGGTGGGTTTTTTTTCTTCAGACAAATTTCGACTTTTTAACTAGCCATTTTTGACGGAATTTTTTTATATCATTCAAAAGGTATTGTTGTCCTGAGCTTAAATTTGAAAAGATATTTCACCTGTGATCATTTTTCGTAAAGTTATGAGGGTTTAAAGATTGCCATTTTGACCAATTTGGGACAATTAACGCGCGATATAATTCGCGCTATTAACGCGTAAGCGGAGATTTAATCCGTCTTATAAATCGTTCCAAATTGGTTAAACGAAGCTTATTTCCATAATTGATTTGTCATAAGAAACGAAATCTATCTTCTTATACTTTATATGGCGTGTGGGGGGATGATTTTCATTAAAAATTTCAAATTTTGGAAAAAACAATTTTCATTTTATTTTATTTCATTTATTTTTTTTTGTTATTACTGCTGCTCCATAAACCCTAAAAGGCAGTCGGAACATTCAGGGCTTCGCCCTGATACGAGCAGTTTTGTTATTATTTGAAAGTAAAATTAAAAACCATACAGAAGTTTCCAAAAGTTTCCACCATCTATAAGGGGATCCAACTTTCATACTTGCGCCTTGCCACAGTCAGAACGACCTCAAGTGCTACTACCGATTCCAGGAAGCCAAACGACCACAGGAGTTGTGTCGTATGCCAGTAGTAGTGTACAAGATAGAGACCGAAGTCTGATGAATTCCTGTTCGAGTCCAGTACCTTCGGTCATGTCGTCCGCTAATTCGACCCCGACTATGATGAGACAGAAAGTGGGCATAGCAGGTATGCGACTATGTTTGTATTATATCTGAATGCAACTGAATAGTCTGTTTTTTCATGTTTTTTTTTTGCCTTTTGAATATAACCCGTATTTATTGGTCCTTACGGGTTTTTTCTATTTCATTCTGAGTTTATAGTTTTTCGATGAACAAGGGAATCCTTAAATTTAACTGTCATTTAATCTTATTTGCGAGAGCAAGTTACTTTTAATCGGGAATTAAATTTTTTGTTTAATCAATTTTTCGTACCAGTCTGCAAGAAATTGATTATGCTTCAAAAGCGCATGACTTGGGCTCATAATGTGCGGGATTTGAGTCCCGGCCGGGCCTTGCTTTTTTCGATATGTATGGAAATAGTAACTTTTTTGAAAAGCTTGATTTTCGGGTCATGTTTTTTCTTATTTTTTATCGACTGTTTTTTCAAAACATGGATTTTGATTTGGTTTAAGCATTTCTAAATGTTATTGGAAAGTTGTTCAATAGTTTGTAAATTTACCAACTCTAATTGGACAATTTCCTTTCAATTGGAAAGTTTTTTTTTCTTAGCTTAAAGGTTTGCGTCGTTTGAAAGGCAAAACAAATTTTATGGTTTTGCGTGTCTCAGGAAGAGTTCGAATTTCAAAACTTTATATCTCAAAGTTTTTTTGACGAAAATTTTGCTTTCGTATCAACCGGCGTCTACGCAAGTTTTGTTGGCTTAGTTGCCGCTCAGTAAGTGGCTGTGAATGCCTTATTAACGCTGGGGTCTATGTTTATCGCCATGTTGTCCTCAAAATGAACATAATTCGAGACAAACGTAGGCAATTTTTGTAGATTAAGTTTTTTCGACATTTTTTCAAAAAAAAATAAAGAGTTTGGTCTCTTTTTGTAGCCGCTAGCTTGCAAAGCCAAGTTTGTGTCGTATCGTAAGTGTTGCACAGCTACGATTTGCCTTTGTGTTACAGTTTGATTTGATTACTCTAGCGAGCTTAGTCTTATACGACTCTTCTATTGAGTCCATTTTTTTCATCAATTCTTTAAGTTTTAAGCGTTAATTAATTGATGCTTTTGTAGGTAGTAACAGAGTTGTAGTTCTCAATGTAAACGGAGAAAGGATGACAGTTGACCCGGCTATCTTCCAGAACTACCCGAACACGATGCTAGGCAGGATGTTCGGACCCTCTTTGGACCACAACTTGACTAAGAAGAATGCGAAAGGAGAATACGAGATCAAAGGAAGTTATGTCAGCGAAGAGGTGTTCAGGCTCATTATTGATTTCTACAAGTTTGGATATATTCGTATACCTGCAAACTTACAGGCTAGTGCTCGTTTTTAGTTTGCTTTGGCTGCTGTTATCTTGGAGGATTTTTATAGCAAATGAAAAAGACTAATTACAGGGTATTGTTTTTGCGACCTCCCAATATGGGTTGGAGTTTTGTGTTCGGGTGTGTCTTAGTTTTTTTATAGACAGAGCCAACTATCAGTTGAATCCCTTTCAGTCGCGAGAACGTTGAAGGGCAACGGGAAAATCAGGGCTTTTCATTGATACGACCAGTCTTGTTCTCGTCTCATAATATTACTGCATGCTTAAATGTCAATGAACGAAGTCTTGTAGTGAAAACTCTTATTTAGGTCTATTTGATTCTTTTGTGTTTTTAGGAAAAGTCGTGAAATTTGTTCACGCTCAGTTTTTTTTTCACGATTTGACTTCTGATTTCTTTCTAGGTTCACTTCATTTCCTTAGTGAAAAGGAAGGCAAACTTCTCTATCGAACAGCAAAAATGTCACTAAAAACGTGATCGACTTCTAATTTCAAAAACAGAATTTAATTATCAGATTAACCAGCGAAATATGATTTTTACCTTTTGATCTAGTTTTCTCAAATTAGGTTAATTTTGCCAAAAAAGGCTCAGCAAAAATTGTTCGCAAAATTCTAAGAGCTCAAATTTTAAATTTCTAAAAAAAAATAAACTAGTTTTTTGTTTCTTTGCGTTCATTACGCTTTTCCAACTGTCAGTTGGCTGTTTTGTTATCCAGAAAAGTTTTTGGGAGTTGATCTTGTTACCTCAATAATAGTGCCCAATAAAAGTCTCCACCCCAATAATAGTCTCCTTAATAGTAGCAATAATAGCCACCTGGAAAATTACTGGATCAAACTTTTCATGTATATGTTTTTGATAAATAGAAAATAAATGTAATTTTGCAATAGGTGGTTGAGGTTAAAGCGGCCTGTGACTACTTTTTGATTCCTTTCAACGACGAGACAGTGCGAGCAGCGAACATGGCAGCCCTACTGCACGAACTGGCCAATGAGGGCGCACAGTCGCAGTTCTCTCAGTTTGTGGACAACATCATACGACCAGTCGTGTTCCAGCTAGCAAGAAAAGGTAAATGTTATGTATTCAATAAAAACCTAGTTTTTCCTTGATAATCATGATGGAGACAGTTATGGGTTTCTGTGTGAAAAGTGTACGCTAGGTGCTTCAATTATTTTTTTAGAAAGCAACAAGGATAGCTGGTTGCTGTGCAAGAAGCACAAACGTTTTGTGCCACAGTGACAAATTAAATGTTTCAATACATTTTCAAGATTTCAAGTGACAAAAAGACAAAGAGCGCAGTGAAGACACTTATAGGTTGAGATTTTTTCCGCAATTTTTAGGAAAAGTCTTAAAATTAGCTCGCGTTCAAATATGATTTTGAGCAGCTTGACTTTTGATTTCTTATTAGTTCAGTTCAATTTTGATCCATTTTTTTGCAAATTAAGCCAATTTCTTTAAACTCAAGGAGCTGTAATGTATTATTGGCTCTTTTTCCTTTTTCCCCCACCTCACTCAAACATGAATTTTATGGTCTAACGAGCGGTCTTACAAGGTTAATTATGGAGAAAGGAGGAAAAAGGGGAGGGAGGAAAAAGAGCCGTAATATTTTTTTCTTCCAATTAATTTTGACTTTCGAAATAATTCAATCTTTTTTTTTTTGGTTTCCTTAAGTTCGTTGATTCTTCAACTGTCTGTCGGCTGTTTTTTTCAAATTTTTTTATTTTTCTTTTTTTTTGTGAACGATGTGAGGAGGGAAACTAAAAGAAAGCTTAACACAACAGGTGTGGCTTTAATTTTCGAGGTATTGAGACCAGGGGCGGATCTAAGATTTTCTCGAGGGGGGGCGGATTTTCAAAAAGTTTTCGAAAGTTTTGACCTTTTTTTTTTAGGTCGACCAAATTGATTTTCCGAGCTCTCCTGAAGCACTAAAAAGACGCTGTTTCGGCCAAATTTTTTGCGCCGCAGGCAAATGTTTGAAAAAACAGGTTAAAAAAAAGCTGTTTGTGGGCACTTTTTGGAAAATTTTGACAAAAAAAATCGCGTTTTTTTTGGCGCGCGTTCCCCCTTAAACAGATAGTATATATTGGCGCCTTTAGAAAAATTTTAGGGTTGGTCGGCCAAAAATTGATTTCTTAAAAAGTAGCAAAGGCAGGGTCGAATCCCTGAGGGGGGGGGGGGCGTCCGCCCTCCCCCTCCCTAAATCCGCCCCTGATTGAGACCAAACAAGTTTTTTTGATATTAAGTAAAGCAATTGAGTTTTTTTTCTCTCGTGGATAAAGCATTTTCCCGTTGATTTCTGTCAAGAGGGTTTGAAATCTATGGTCTAATACCTGAATTAGTGTTGTGTTTTTGTTTATGAAAGGAGAGCGAGAGTGTCACGTGGTGGTGATCATGAGTGAAGATATGGTGGACTGGGATGAAGAGTACCCTCCCCCCAAGGTGCAGCCGGAAGTGGAGGCTTCTCTGATCAGAGACGATCACCTCTGCCGGTTCCTCAAGTATGTGGAGAACAGAGATGTGGCGAAGAATGTGTTGAAGGACATGGGGCTGAAGAAGATCAAACTGGGCATTGAAGGTTTTCCTACTCAGATGGAGAAGATGAAGACTACAAACAGGGGCAGGTGGGTGAACTGAAAAGCGAACAAAACAGATAGATCTCACAAAAAAACAACTTAAAGACTAGGAAATCGACAGCTAACAAAAAGCGTGACGTCTCGCCGGTTTCTGTGCAACTAGAACAGAATATTCCGGCCACATTCATAAATTAACTACAAAGAAAATATTTTCTTCAAACTGGCGTCGTTTTTTGTGCGTGATGCGATGAAAGAACTTCAAAAACGCGCAGAAAGTTAAAGAAGTTGGTATAATTGAATTTTACACAATGGCGGCATTTTTTTTGTTTTTTTTTTAAATCGAAAAGTCTTGGTGCTTTTTTTGAAGGCACTTTTACTGCTCTTTGATACCATGCTTTGACATTCGCAATAAGTTAACACAGTTGATATAGCTTTTGTTTTAGTATGAACTTTCTTTTTCAACCTAAGTCGCGAATATTGTTGCGATGCAATTGTTGCGACAAAATGTGTTCACTTTGAATGTGTTCATTCTGATCCAGCTATTAAGTAAAGCCAATGCTAAAGATATTAAAACAGACTACTAAATTACAAATAGCACTTTAGCTTTAAGGTATCATAGTTCTGTAGCGTAGAGGTAGGGAAGGAGACCAGCAGCAAATTAAGAGGGTTCGAACCTGGGTAGGGTCGGATGTTTTTAATGAACTGTTTCGTATACTATTTAAAATGCGTACAATTTGAAACAACAGTACAATAATTACACTAGCCATCAGCTTAGTTTATTAGTGCGAACCTTCTTTTTTTAACCTTCCTCACAAATAAAAGTGTTTCTTTATTTGGAAATTTCACTGTAGCATTGGAAATTGCATATCATCTGTACTCTGCTTTATTTGTGACTAGTTTTTGGTGTCTATTAGGCTTCCATGTCTGAGTGGCTTGTGTGTGAGTCTCTTAATCTTTAGGTCCGAATCTTAGACGTAAACGATTTCTTACTAATTCGAAGCTTATTTCTAATTATTTTAAATTGCGCTTTATAGATTTTTTTGTCGTGTTCTTGCTAGTGTTTGCGAAGCAAAGCCTGGCCTCTGTATTGAAATTTTCCAACTGCATATTTTTGGCAATTTTTTTGAAATGCATAGTTTGTCTTTATGCTTTCCAATTTATTACATGCAAAGTTAGTGTGAATGCCTGTAGTGTATTATATATTTATTATTAATTAAACAAAAATTGCGTCTCTTTGTATTTGTTGATAATTTTGCTGCGTAGCCTTGGCAATTCATTAGCATATATTGCTGCTTTAATGGAGGCAAGTATTAGGAAAATCTCAAGGGCCCGTGGCGCAGATGAGAGGACGCGCGACTCCAAATCCTTGTTTTAGATTCGAATCCGCCCAATAGAAGTTTGAATTTCAAGGCCTTTTTTTACCTTTTCTGGTTTTATTTTTATCACTTAGTTTTGTTGCTTGTGTTTGCGAAGCGCAGCTTCCCCTCTTTGTCAAAAAAGCAATCTTATGGCAACCACTGATTCAAACGCACGTTCCTTCTCGTTCCGAATGCAAGCGCACCAAAGCGAAGTGAAGCTAGCGTTCTCTATTTGCCAATGCCGATTTTCAAAACCATTTAAGTTTTGTTAGTTGTCGCGATACCTTGCAAAGAGCTATTTTTCTTTCCGACAGGGGACTGTCAGAACGTTAAAATATGAAAAATAATCTGTTGAGATTTTAATTGAAAGCAAGTTAGTCATTTTTACGCTAGTATTAACGGCCGCCGAACTACGCTTGTATTTGGCGTTTTTTAACCATGAATATTTTATCTGAGAATATCTGAGATAAGTGCACGTCGCCCCGAACTGGATTCTTCCGGCCAATCATCTTCAAATCCCCAAGCTAAGTCATATTCTGATGTTTTGCTAAACAAAAATGGTGTTGAATACGCAAAAGAACTCCGTTTTAGTGGTATCCCTGAATTCATCTCTGCAAGTGATAACAAAGCTCAAAGATCGGATATTTTTGAGCATGAAGTTACCAATGTAAATGGCGTCTTAACCCATCTAGGAATTGATACTAATGAACCTGTTGTTTCAATTAAGCGACTTGGACCATTCAAGCCTGAAAGCACTCGACCAAGGACAATTATCGTCAAATTTAGTAACGAGTTAATATCTGAAAGATTATTATCAAGAGCAACCCACTTAAAAGACTACTCCAATACTTACAACCAAAAAGTATACAAAGTTTACCTGTCAAAATCCCTGAAACCAGACGAAATCAAGATTGAGAAAAAGCTACTAGAAAAACGCAGATTTCTCATTGACAACGAAAATGTTAAACCCAAAGACCTGAAAATTAAAATTCTCGAGCTCTTCAAGAATGGAGTGAAAGTTCAGTTAGAAGACTGACTATCTGACACCACTTCCAACACCCACCCGTTATCCGCCCTATGCTTTAATACACGAAGCCTCATTAATATAAATCGTAGAACTTCTTTCGCAAATTATATTCTCAAGAGCAATCATGACGTTATATGCCTAACCGAAACCTGGCTAACATCTGAGATAAGTGACTCTGAACTATTTCTTAATCAATACAATATTTACCGAACCGACCGTGAAATGAACGATCATGGTCACTCCAGTCATGGCGGCATTCTCATTGGAATAAAAAATGAACATAGTTCGGAACCAGTTCGCCTTCCTGATGAAATAGTCCACCATTGCACAGCTTGTACAGTCTCGTCCACTTCTGAAACCTTGCTATTTGTTTGTTGTTACTTTCCTCCTAGGACAAGTCCCTTTGCTATAGACCACCAATTCCTTGAACACTTCTTTATTTATCTTGAAAGTGTCTTCCCTTTATATTCAAACGTGGTTATATGTGGGGACTTCAACTTTGATATTGACTGGCGTGATTATTCTTCTACATTTCCCGACGAACAAAGATTCATTACTGGCATTGAAAAACTAAATCTCACCCAATCTGTTCAGTTTCCTACAAAACGTGAAAAAACGTTAGATTTGGTTTTGGTGTCGCCTAGCACAGATGTTCTTGACATCAAACCTGTAACAGGCAACATTAGTAAATTGTCAGATCATATACCTGTCGCCTTTGTTATATCTTCAGTTCTTTACTCGCCTAAGCTCACAACACCCGGAAAAGTTTTCAGCTACACCAAAGCTAATTATGAAGCTATGAGGCTCCAGATATCGCGAAATCCCTTCACAGGTCACTGTTGGTCAAACCCTAATGTTTTACTCTCGGAATGGTATGACTGGTTACAGCATATAATCTCCAAAACTGTCCCCATTCGAACGAAGCACCGCAGTGAGCTGCCTCCATGGATCACATCCTCAACATCGAACGAGATAAAGCGTTTGCATACTTTTGAGAAAAAGTTTGGTCGATCGAATCCGAAAACTACTAAACAGAATGAAAAGGTTACAGTCTTGACAGGAAAAGACAAGGAAAACTATGAGAATGAACTAGCCAGCAACAGGAGTAAAAATCAGCTTTTCAAGTATTTTCGAACATTTAAGACAACGACCATACCGTCATACGTTTATCTAGATAAACTATGTGCTTACTCAGATCAGTCTAAGGCTGATCTATTTGCTTCCTTCTTCTCTAGCGTGTTCATCTTATCATCATCATTAGATGATGAGGACTCAATTCAAAGCAACCAATTTTTAGCGCACGAATATCAAATCATTGATACCTTTGATACTTCGGAACAATCTATTCTTGAGATTTGCCTTGACCTCAACGTAACTAAGTCACGTGGACCCGACAATCTACCCCCAGCGCTGTTCAAAAATGTCGCCAGTGCACTATGCCACTCCCTGAGTCAAATTTTCAATAAGATCAAACAGACATGTGTCTTCCCACAGAAATGGAAAACTGCAATAGTAACACCAATTCACAAGAAAGGTGACAAGCGAAATGTAACCAACTATAGACCCATATCTCTTCTTGATATATCTTCTAAGATCCTCGAACGATGCACGTTTCGAAGTCTATACAATCATTTCAAGCCCTTGATACACAATGCACAATTTGGTTTTCGGAAAGGAAGATCTGTCGAAATTCAACTTTTGATATATCTCGATCACCTTTACAAAGAAATTGAGTATGAAAATTCCATTGATGTTGTTTACACCGATTTTGAGAAAGCGTTCGATAAAGTGGACCACGGGATATTGTTATTCAAACTTTTTCAATATGGTGTACGTGGAAAATTTCTCAAATTGATCAAATCATATTTGAACAACCGCTCTCAGAGAATTAAAGTAGGAGACAAAATATCTGGCCCAATTGAAGTAACTAGCGGGGTTCCGCAAGGATCAGTACTTGGAGCTTTACTATTCCTGTTTTTCATTAATGACTTGCCATCAACGTGCGCTGACTCGAAGCCTCTTTTACTAGCTGACGACTCCAAGTTTATTCGGACTAATAGTTCGACTTCTTTCCAGTCTGAGCTTTCTCTTACTTATAATTGGAGTGTTGCTAATAAAATGCCCTTCAACGTCGCAAAATGTACTCACATCCATTTTGGTAAAAACAACGATACTGCATATAACTTCAACGGCGAAGTGATTCCTCGAACAGATGTTCAAAAAGATCTTGGTATTCTTGTTCGTAGCGATCTTAAATGGAACAATCATTTCAAAGCAGTTGCCGCAAAATCCATCAAAGTTCTCCACATGCTCAAAAGAAACACGTCGAGTCTGCCAGTTTACAGCAAACTCAACCTCTACAAAAGCATGGTTGTTCCATCATTGCTGTTTGGATCAAATTGTTGCGCCTTATCTAAGACAAACATATCAGTTCTAGAAAACGTACAGAAAAAATTCTGTAAGTGGTGTCTCCCTCACATGAGCTACACCAGTGCTCTAACCTTCCTAAACATTCTTCCAGTTGCTTATTACATCCAACTGAACACCTTTTTACTTCTGCGGAAAATTGTGACTGATTACTTCGATTACAACTTCAGAGAGCATATTCAATTCTTCCATTCACCTCAGGACTCACGGGAAGGGCCTTCGCAAGGGTTTTCCCTGCAAGAACCTACCCAAACGAGACCTCGAGTATTGCGACATGGTCCTATAGTCAGTTTTACCAGCATTAGGCCCTTGAAAAGTTTATGTGAGCAAAATTTTTGGTTCCAAGCTACTAGAACAGCAAATCGCTTACCTGATGACATTGATATTTTCTCCTCCACCCTGAAATCGGACTTGTTGAAATGGTTCTGGGAATACTTCATGCGTTTTACAATGAAAGCAATTCTTGCTCCTGGGTTACCTTTTGCGACTGCAATCGAAACAACTGTAGACTCGTTTTTAACAGAAATACCTTTGGGGGAAACCCCTTGTGATTTATCACTAAATCCAATATAATAATAATAATCATAATAATATTGAACGACATTAAAGAAAACATGATCTCTATTACAATCGGTTGCCTAAGTGCCGCATGCATTTAAGTGGGTGCAATATGTATTTGCGTAACGCCGTGAATAGATGAAAACTGAAAACAGTGTGTCGGAAAAAGTTAACCTGTTTTGATTTCCTTTTGGTGTAAAACAGCTTTTATAACATCGAACAAATTTTCGCTATTCTTTACTTTTCTAATCTAATCAGTGCTCTTGCTGTTAGTCTTGGAAAAAATGATCGGCCTTCAATTCCGTTTAAGTGCTAATACGCTGTGAATTGGTTACCGATAATATGTAGATTGGGTTTCTGAGAAGTCTTTTAATAAGCTTTATATCGATCAAGCGCAGAAATATTCAATGTTTGGAATACTTGTGCACTAACACTATTAAAATAACAGATTTTATTAGATGCTACATCAATAATGATCCGGTTATTTTCTCGATTAGATGGATAGTTATAAATGCATCTACCAAATTTAATCTGCGTAATTGTGGTTTGTGAGAGTAATGAACGTAGTGAGTACACTTATGTAGGTCTTGCTGATTTTTTAAAAGTAATGAACGTAGTGAGTACTCTTATATAATAGGTCCTGCTGATTTTTTTTTTCAGTTTCCTTGCGTTCATTACTGTTTTCCGACTGTCAGTTGGCTATGTTTTGTGTTATAGGCCAGAAGTGGTCTACAACTACATCCAGAGACCATTCGTGCACTTATCTTGGGAGAAGGAGGAGGCCAGATCCAGACATGTGGACTTCGAGTGTCGTCCGGTGAACATGTCGACCAATCTGGCAGAGGCAGCCAGTGACACGGACATAGACCAGCCACAAGCTGCGGGACACTTGATGACAGAGGCAGAGTCAGAACAGCTGCAGGAGCAGATCCACAATGCACAGCATATGCATATGAATGGCAGCACGGACAGCAGCAGCAGTGCTGGAGGCGCATCAGGTATGAACTCTTTGCTTGAAATAATCAAGCAGTAATACAATTGTACATAAAATAAGTTTCACCCTTTTTAAGCACGCTCAATTTCATCATTCAGGCGCCCCACGTGTTGAGCAGCTCTAATCTTCGGAATCGCTCCCGCCAATATTTAAGGCTTTATCGTGTCGTGTTGTACAGTCAATTGATACGCGAAGTTTTTTATTTACGCGATGTTAAAATGCATGGTGTTCTATTAAACGTCAACAAGCATGAATTTGGGTTAATTTGTAGAAGACTTCATACCCAAATTGCTCTCAAAGACACGTGATAACCTTTCATCCTTTAATCAATCAAATTTACTTACTTTAGAATCAAGGGCGGATCTAGGATTTTTTCGAGGGGGCGGCGGATTTTCGAAAATTTTGTCGACCTTTTTTTAGGTATTGATTTTCGGAGCTCTCCCAAAGCACCAAGCATTGAAAAGACCCTGTTCTGGTTAAATTTTCTGCGCCGCAGCCAAAATTTTGAAAACAAAAACAGGCCAAAAAAGGCATTTTAAGGCACTTTTTGGAAATTTTTGACCAAAAAATTGCGCTTTTTCGGCGCGCGCTCAAAGTTAGTATATATTGGCGCCAAAGGCGCCTTTAGAAAGTTTTTAGCGTCCATCCCTGGATACCCTCCCCCTCTTAAATCCGCCCGTGTTTAGAATAAAGTTGTGTGTTGCTATCAGGAGCTCATGGCAGCACATCGATGGCAATAGTTCCCGTCAATACCAATGGACTCGCTCATCAATTGATGGGATCCCAGAGGCTTCCCCCTCATCTCTCTCTTGCCGTGAACACAAATGGGGCAGACTCTCCCCACTCCCAACAACACCACTCACCCCCAATTGTTACCCAAGATCAGGATCTAGAGGATAGAGAAAGAGAGAGTAATGGCGGGATACCTCCAGAGGACTAATCAAGGTCACCCCCGCCAAAAAAATCTTGCGATTAGTCAATCAGTCCAAGTTGATAAAACGAATAGGCAATCCGCCTCAGAAGCCAGAAAACAATGACGTAAAAGGCTAAAGAACCATGAGGAAACAGATTCCTCCTCTCCTGAATACATGCAACCGCGGTATGCGCCAGCAAGTTGAATTCATTTTGTACCATTCAGATTCCTGTTTAGCGAACTTAGTAAATTGAAGTTTCAATTTTGAAGTGGTTTTGTATCGTACGAGTTAATTGCTTTTCCAGAAGCTTGAAGTTTCTTGTAATTATTATTATGTACGTACCAACATTTTTGAAAAATATTTTAGAAGGCAATGAAATTTGCCGCGCATTTGAGCGCCCATATAACCCCAGAATGGCGCAAGCAGTATGTGCGCTACGAGTATCTGAAAGAGATGCTTTACTACGCACAGGAACAAGCACCTCCTCCCGATACCTCAGACGAAGAGACTATTCGAAGATACTACGCCAAATTTGATCAAAAGTTCTTCACACAGTGTGAACAAGAACTGAACAAGATCAACATGTTTTTCTCGGAAAAGCTCGCAGAGGCACATCGTAAGTGGGCCAATTTGCACTCGGAGTTACAGTTGGCGAAAAGTCGAAGAACCGAAGACACGATTTCGACCATTAAGAACAGGGCATCAACCAGAAAAGATTCGATATTCCCGGCAACTCTTATAGTCACTGACAAACGCCAGAAGGTGTTGGCTCAGCATGCTCGGAAGATTTCAGATTTGAAGTTGGCGTTTAGTGAGTTCTATCTCAGTCTGATTTTATTGCAGAATTATCAGTCTCTGAATTTCACCGGGTTCCGCAAGATACTGAAGAAGCATGACAAGGTATTTGATCAGGACAGTGGGACTGGGTTCCGAGTGAACAAAGTGGAGAGCGCACCTTTCTACACGAATAAGCAGATTGATAAGCTAATCCACGAGTGTGAAGAAACGTATATTTCAGAGTTGGAGGAAGGTAACAGGACTCGTGCCATGAAGAGGTTAAGAGTGCCACCTTTGGTCGACCAGGAGTCCCCCAAAACTACTTTTTTCATGGGGTTCTTCTCAGGAAGTGTCGCTTTCATGTCAGTGGCAATCATTATTATCGCAATATTTGTAAGCGAGTACCATAGAGATTCTTCCTGGAGTGCTTACGTCACTATTTACAGAGGAATGTTCCTGGTCATTTTCTTAACCGGACTCCTAGGTGTGAACACATTTGGCTGGCGCAAATACGGAGTCAATCATGTGCTTATTTTTGAACTGGACCCACGTGATCATATATCGTTTCACGAGTTGCTTGAAGTCGCATTCTTCCTAGCAACTGTATGGTGCATGAGTGTAATCTTGTTTTTGTTCTCACCTGTGATTGGAGTCGACAGATTCGTGAGTCCTTTAGCGTGTTTTGCGTTCTTCGTTTTCTTCTTATTCAACCCAATTCACTCGTTTAAATACAAAGCCCGATTCTGGCTCATAAGGTACTTGTTCCGGATAGTGACAGCACCCTTATTCCCTGTCAGTTTTCCAGACTTCTGGCTTGCAGACCAACTGAACAGTTTATCGACCATGTTGCTAGACATGGAGTTCCTCTTTTGCTACTATATATTCGAGCTCGATTGGTTCATCACACCGCAGAACGATGACACTAAAATATGTGGCAGTTACAGATACGGAGTTAGAATCATAGTTGCAATGTTGCCGGCTTGGTTCCGATTCGCTCAGTGTCTCAGGCGTTACTACACCACAAAGAAAGTTCATCCGCATCTGGTCAATGCAGGCAAATATTCGACAACTTTTGTCGTTGTCTCGTTATCAGCTGCTGTTTCGTTGTATAAAGAGAATCACGGTTTCCACTACACTCCCTTACTTGTCTGCTGGTTTCTCGCATGTGTGATGTCGTCTTGTTATACTCTCAGCTGGGATCTGAAAATGGACTGGGGTCTACTTTCCTTTTCAACCTCTTCCCCATCTTCAAGTGCTGATTCTGGGGACGTTGGTGGAGACTGGTGCCACAACGCTCTGCTGAGAGAAGAAACAGTATACCCCAGTAAAGCTTTCTACTACTTTGCCATTGTTCAGAACTCTTTACTTCGCTTTGCATGGTGCTTCAGCTACGCCTGTACTGTAGGCGGCTTCATGGACTCAAATCTTCTAACGTGTGTCCTATCGGTGCTAGAAGTGTTTCGTAGGTTCATGTGGAACTACCTTCGTCTGGAGAATGAGCATCTGAATAATTGTGGTGAGTTCAGAGCCACCAGAGATATAAGTATTGCTCCTTTGGAAGAGGATCACCAGGCACTCCTCTGTGAGATGATGGACAACCCTGACATGCTCATCAGACGCAGAACTCCCAACTTTTCACCAGGTCTTATTCAATATTCCAACGAAACCAAACATTTACTCGCCAGATCAAACACAAATGACCCCAGTTTAAATGTCCAGCAAGGTCCTGGGCAAAGCCCAGATGAAGAAGATGACGATGATGATTGATCGTCAAAAATGATCATTTCACTTCCTCCAATTCGCACAAATCGCCATATTCAGTTAAACTGCAGGTTAACAGCGAACCTAAAACACTTCTATCTTCATATTCAAATTCAATTATTTATAATTAGCTCAATTTGAAGCTCAAAAAATCTTTTTTTTTGCCTTGTTTTCATCTTAAGTCAATTCAAGCGTTTAGTGACAAAGTTCAATCAAAACAAAGGTTTTTTGAAGCATTTGTATTTATTAGCATTATGACGGTTCACTCAATAAATTGGACTTTTATTATTAACACTCATTAGACGAAAATTCACGAATCAAAGTAATGTTATCTGCTGATACTAACAAATTTGAATAGCTTGCTGATTTTTTAAAGGTACATTTATGATGTACAGCCACAATGATTAAAAGGACAAAGACCGATTCTTTTTTGCTTGACTTAATTTACAATTACGATCTAAAAAACTACACGTCAAACTTTTTTCTCTTCGCACTTATCAGCAAATTTAGTTGTTTGATTTTGTATCTGTCTGCTTTCCTTTTAATTTTCTGCAACTTAGTTTATTTTACAGTTATTCCACTATATAAGGCTGAGATTGGCATTTTTCGTTATGCGCTCGCATTTAAGTTTTCCTGCTCAGACCTGAAAAGATTTTGACTGCTGCTGATATATTCGTGATTTCAGCGGCCAGCTCCAAAAAGTTAAACATATTTACACTAGCCAAAATCTATTTACATATATCTATACATATATTTACACTAGCCGTGTTAAGTTAGAAAAAACTAAGGTTCGTACTAACGCTCGCAAGCTGTTGTGTGTTAGTACGAATCTTCGTTTTTTCTAACTTAACTCGCAAATAAAACTGTTCATTATTTGGAGGCAAAGTGTTCATTATTTGGTGGCACTTTTGCCATAATGACGCTCTATAGCACTGGAAATTTCAAACATCTGTTCTCTGCTTCATTTGTGGATAGTGTTTGTGACATTTTAAGTGTTCGTTGCGGAGTGGTTAGCGTGTGAGAGGCATAATCTCTTGGTCGTAGATCGAATCCGAGACGTAGCGGAATGTTTTAACTATTCGAAGCTTATTTCTACTTTTTCTTATTGCTGTTTATAGAGCTGATTTTTGCCGTGTTCGCGCTAGTGTTTGCCAAGCGCAGCTTTGCCTTCGTGTTTTTGTGCGAAAGCCTAGCAAATAGATATATTCGATAGTTGAAGAAAAACACGCATATTTAACAACAGTTTTCTTGAAAAACAAATGGAAATAGTTTAAAACAGCCATAACAGACAGTTGCAAAAGAGTTGTAAACGCAAGGAAAAAAATACTGACTTTATTTCAAAAAAAAAGAATTATATGATTTTTACACTTGCGAAGCTAGTGTACTAGTACGAACCTTCTTTTTTTCCAACCTAAGTCGCAAATATATCTCGCAATTTTTTGAAATGCATAATTTATACATAATGTGGCTTTATGTTTTGTTATTTGTTTCATGCAAAGTTAGTGTAGATGCCTTCAGTTTGTTATATTTCAAGTTATTAATTCAAATTGGAGTTTATTTGTATTTGGTGCTGAAATGCATTGGCAATTTGTTAGCATATGTAGCGGCTTTATTCGTGAGTAGTTTTTGTCTGTTGTTAAACTTGAGTATCTTATGGGATAGTGCGTGAGACTCAAAATCTCGTGATTTCAGTAGGTCGCAGATTCGATTCCTACACGTAGTCGAGTTTTTGCTAATTGAAGGCGTATTTCTACTTTTTCTTATTTGACTTGATAGAGCTGTTTTTTTGTGATAGATTGTTTGCGATGCGCAGCTTTGCTTCTGTGTAAAGCTCGTAAAGCTTTGCTTCTGTGTAAAGCTCGTAATTTGCTTCTGTGTAAAAGCTCGTGTTTTTCGCTCCGCTGGGAAATCTAAAATTTGAAATCTACTTTCAAAACTGGAAATCGTTCACGTATTTTTTGCGCTATTCAAGCTTTCGTAGCTGAGTGGCTTACTTTACCTAACTTTTTGCAAATAAACTGGAAAAGTGCATATATACCTAATTGCATTCATACATGCAATAATATGTATGAAGGTATTTCTGTAGTTATCAGGGAGTTTTAATACTTTTCATAATAAACGATAAAAAATCACCAAGACATGTATAAGAGTGTTCACTATGTTCATGATTCTCAAAATCATAAACAACTTTTTAGCTAGTTTTTTTGAGCAATTGTTGTTGCCAAGAAGGATTTAAAAGAAGTTTCAAAAAGTAATATTCGTGGTATGAAGAATGTTTAAAACACTGCACGAATGTTGTTTTCGGTTTGTTTTTTAAATATTTCTTTATAGCACGAATATCAGGTTTTAAAGCACAAAAAAGTTGCTAAAAAGTTGTTTCACAAATCGCAACAATGAAAAAAAACTTGCCTTGTATCTTTAGTATAAGCGATTTAAAATTGCGGAGGTATAACGGAAAAATGCTGCGAATGTTACTGCAAAATGCTGAGTCTTTCGGTCGATGAGATCAGTGCTATGATGTGCAAGAAACTGAACATCAGGAACATGACTGTGATTGAACTGGCAGACGAATCTGGAGAGTGCCCAGTCCAAAATGCACTAGCTGCAAAAGCTGTTATAAACGCAACTGAAGTTGACGGAGCACTGGAAAGCTGGCTTTGATTTTCACTTAATTTCACCATACAAACTCCTTGCAAACTCCCGGCCTTTTGCTGCATTTTTTGTTTTAAAGATTTTGACACAAAACTCGAAGATAGGTCGAATCGGTCCGCCCGAAATCAGGCAAGGTTTGATAAAATATATAAAAGGCTACGAATTCTCCAAAAGTTCAATTTTATCATAAATCGCTAAATTGTTACGACCACGTCATTAAGTCACGGGATGAAACTATGGTCTAGTGTTGATTGGTCCGCACAATCTTGGCTACCGCTAAAAAAGCTCGGTATATAGGTAGAACACGGGTGTAAACTTTGTTTACGCTATGTGGTTGGCGTAACTAAAACTAGCGAAAGCTTTATTCCCATCATTCAGCTTACTTGTGAAAAAATTTTTTGCATTCTTTTTGATGACTCTCATGTCGATTATACTTTAATCGATGATACTTCAACGACCCAATTTAATTATACTACAAAGTCACGTTGTTTAATTTAGAATAAACTCTTACTCTTGCATTTTTTCACCTGATTCAATCACCCTTCACTACAAAAAAAAACTAAAGAAAAATATTTCCCGTTTTTTATAACTCCTGATGTTGAAATTTAATTGAAGTTTCCCGCCTGTCTCCGAAAAGTTTCGACCATTATAAACAGAAAAACATGGCCAGAAACTATGCTTTTTGCGAAGAAATCCACTACTTTTGTTTCCTTCTAAATAGATTTTGCCAGAACTTAAAAAGTAGAAAAAAAAGGAATCATAAAGTAATGCAAGATTAATTCTACAAATAGCAACCAAAGTATCTTAAAACTGAGGACTTCCACCTATTGCTTACTTATACTTGACTGTTAGTTAAAAGTTTATAGATAAGGCAGCTATCTTCGTTGAAAAAGAAAAAGTGAAAATGATTGAAACTAAAACACCGATGTAGAGCCTCAGCGAAAGCCCGTCCATGTTGCTATTTCACGAACTGAGTCTGACAGATATGTGATACCTCGTGCAGGAGAAAAAAGGAAGTCAATTTCTCCTCAACTTGATTGAGCCTCCTTCCGAGACAGAAGACGCAAACAATTTTCTTCTCTGCGACGGAGCAATTTTAGTCGTAGATTCAGTCAGCGGTGAGTGTTTAAGAGTTAATGAATTGGACTTAATTTTTCAAAACTGAAAGTCAGCCAAAAAGTGTCAAAATATTCAATAAATGTGTTTTTTAAATTTCCATAATATTCGGAAAACTTACAAGATTTTAGAAAAAACTACTTTTTCCTTGAGATTTTTAAAAAATTTTGGGAACAAACCAATATTTCTGCAAAAAAATATAACTCAAGTCTTCGCCCGCACCGACCACCCGTTGTCCAAGGATCATCATCGAATACATATCATTTTACCGTCAGTATCTATAAAACTACAAAATAATCGAATATAATCCATTTAAACAAGGATTATAATCCGATTAATCGTACATCAAAAGAATCCAACATAGTATATTTCAATCGACTATAATGGAATTTTTTTGATAAGAGTTTGATGCATTTTAGAAAATTATTTCGAAGTTATCTCATTTGCCGTTTAGTTCACTTGCTACGTATTGGATTTCATGTCTATCTATTTCAACGTAAAATTCCCCCCGTCACTTCTAAACCCCCGCCAGGAAGGGGGAGTTGAGAGGTAATAATTGAAGTGATTTGGAGTGGAGGGAATTGAAAGGATATTTATTTCATTCCCCCCAACTTAAAAATCACAACTCGTGAGGGAGGGGTTGGGTTGATATAGGGACCAGTTTCAGTTTATGTAAGTCTTCAGTTTTCTGTCTGGGGACCTGCTGCTGCGACTTTGCGATCGCTATCGTCTGGCATACGCTAAAACAATCAACGCAGTAAGATTAGGTTTTTGAACCATACAGTTGCCTTAAAATGTTTTACTTTCATTACTACACTTTTTGGATCTTCAACATGGCGTAGCCAGCTGAAAGAAAAGGAGGAAGAAAAAACCCACTGTACATATTATCGTTTTCGGACGCGCGCACGCAGGAGCCGCCATCATACTGGGAAGAACGGATAACAAAATTCCATTGGGGATTGATTGCGAAATATGACATCGATCCCGATGGTTTATATTTTGATAATACCTTAGATGCTACGGCGATTTCAGCGCTACCGGGGGAAGTCAACAGAAAAAACCGAATAGACGCGGAGAAAAAGTTAAAATCTAACTTGTACCTTTGCATTAGGGATGAAGCACAAAGGATATTCAAAGCCCGTAAACCAGCGGTCAGCATCAAGACGGAAAGGTAACCACGGGTATTAGACGAAATGCAAAACGTATTCAAGCGAGAACGAAACTTCACACATGAGCAAGGATTGTTTTACGGGAGCAAACAGAGGGAAAATGACTTCGAGTGCTTTAGCCGGTAGGTGTGATTTTGCCAACGCTGCCGAAAATATTCAAGACATTTTCATCAAGAATATCCGCAAGTCCGAATGTCAAAGAGAACTGTCCCGATCTACCAAGTCT